ATAATTGAAAGCAAAGAAATGTAGAACAGCAGGAGGACTAACAGAGGAGATGAGCCGTGAATGATTATTAGAAGGCCAGTGCTGCAAAGGCTTACGAAAAGAGGGCCAGTGCCAGTTACAGAGAAGGCTTACGAAAAGAGGGCCATGGCCAGTTGCCGTGAAGGACTACAAAACGAGGGCCAGTGCTAGTTGCCATGGAGGCTTACCAAAAGAGGGCCAGTGCCAGTTTTTCTGAAGGCTTACAAAAAGAGGGCAACGGCCAGTTACAGCGAAGGCTTACAAAAAAAGGCCAGGGCCAGTTGCTGTGAAGGCTTAAAAAAAGAGTGCCAGAGCTAGTTGCCCCGAAGGCTTACAAAAAGGGGCCAATGCCAGTGGCCACAAAGGCTTACCAAAACAGGGCCAGTTGCCATGAAGGCTTACTAAGAGAGGTCCCTTGCCAGTTCCGGTGAAGGCTTACCAAAAGAGGGCCCGTGCCATTTGCAGTGAAGGCTTACAAAAAGAGGGCCATGGCCAGTTGCTGCAAAGGCTTACCAAAAGAGGGCAAGGGCCAGTTGCCACAAAGGCCTACCAAAAAAGGGCCAGTTGCCGTGAAGGCTTACGAAAAGAGGGCCAGTGTCATTTGCCGTGAAGGATTACAAAAAGAGGGCCAGTGCCAGTTGCCGCAAAGGCTTACCAAAAGAGGGCCAGGGCCAGTTGCCGCAAAGGCCTACCAAAAGAGAGCTAGTTCCAGTTGCCGTGAAGGCTTACCAAAAGACGGCCAGTGCCAGTTGCAGCGAAGGCTTACAAAAAAAGGGCCAGTGCCAGTTGCCGTTAAGGCTTAGCAAAAGAGGGCCAGTGCCAGTTGCCAGCCTATTTGTTAGCAAATAGGCCTGTCTTTGAATGTTTTGATATGTTTAACATTTTTTTAGCTTCTCTGATTTGGGGCAGTGTAAGAAGTGACTTATGTTGAACAAGTCAAAAAAGAAAAGATCACTAGTAGTATTGCAGTTTTTAAATTATTAGACACTGATCTTATATTGATTGGGAACCATGGCAACAGCAAACCAATAATTTTAATTTTACGTATTTTTTAATTTAATCACTTCCTTCACGACTGTTTTGTGGTGTTTTAATAAATAAATTCTTTGAGGTATAAAGGCTGAAGGGATTATACGTTTTTTTAGGATAAATATGTTAAAACGATTTTCTTCACAGCTATTTGAGTTGAGCAACTAATAGATAAGACTCCACCTGTTTTTTGACACATAGGTTTTTCTGAAGAAAGTATTTACCCTCTGGGCTTAACGATGTATTTCATCAGGTTTCACAAGAGCCTTTAGCGTGGAGGTTTAGAATTGCAAAATAGCAAAGCATCCTGTAGGAGTTTTCTTCTTTGTTTTGTTTTTTGTCTGTCACATGGTTTTTGCTTTTTAACAGATTTTTCTGTGCATATTGTAATTTTGCATGTGAATTGATGGTGCTTTCCTAGTGAATGAATAAATTCCCTTCTGCTCACTGCTCCTTTTCAAAAAATTTCTCCATAACGTACAATCTGAAAAACTCACACGAAGAGAAAGGAAAATTAGAAGAAATTTATTGATATAATTACTTTGTCAATGGAGCTCAGACCTCGGCAGGGAATAGAGCGCAGAATTTTGATAGATATGCATGAACAGTAGTAAAGAACAGGGCTGTTTCCCCCCAAAAAATTAGCTGATGTTTAGGCCAATACGACAGCAAGCACAGAAGGCACAGACATAATTGAAAGCTAAGAAATGTAGAACAGCAGGAGGACTAACAGAGGAGATGTGTCATGATCAAGGGGATTTTTCTGACCCACGTGCAGGAAACCACAAGCAGGATTCAAAGGAT